TACTTCATTTTAAATCATAGTCCATTTCATATCCTTTAATCCGGATGCTGTTGCACTTCAACAGAATTTGGAACAGTTCCCTTCCCAGAGCCAGAGATAAGCACCGCCTCCAGAAGCCATAAATGAAAGGAGAAGCCTCTTCCTTTGTTTGTGTGTCTCATTGTATATGATTGTAAAGGCATTGAATGTTTGCCTATGTCTGTAAATGCTCTGAGTCCCTTAGAGGAGAAGGGCGGAATATAAATAAAGTGTGTTATTATTATTATTATTATTATTATTATTATTATTATTATTATTAGAAACACAACAAAATGAGTCCACAGCAGACAAGATCACTTTGCTGGCTGTTGTATTGGATCACACTTCCCAAGTATCTAGGACTGTATGATGTATCGGTGAATAATGCGTGCAGATCCCAGTAAGGTAGGCTTTTGCAACTGATAGATGGTAATTTTGTCAGCACCGATTGTGTTTAAGTGCAGGCCAAGGTCTTTAGGCACTGCAACCAGTGTGCTGATCATCACTGGGACCACCTTGACTGGCTTGTGCCAGAGTCTTTGCAGTTTAATCTTTAAATCCTCATCTCAAGTCAGCTTTTCCAGTTGTTTCTCTTCAATCCTGCTATCGCCTGGGATTGCAACATTGACAAACCATACTTTGGTTTTAAGATGATCGTGAGGTCAGGAGTATTGTGCTCCAAAACTCTGTTGTTGTTATTGTATTGTCAAAGGCTTTCATGGCCAGAATCACTGGGTTGTTGTAGGTTTTTTCGAGCTATATGGCCATGTTCTAGAGGCATTTTCTCCTGACGTTTCGCCTGTATCTATGGCAAGCATCCTCAGAGGTAGTGAGGTGTGTTGGAAGTAGGAAAATGGGTTTATATATCTGTGGAATGACCAGGGCCGGACAAAAGACTCTTGTCTAATCACCTCTCAACAAAAGATTGCCCCAGGCACTGCCAGGCCATCAAATGCTAATCAAGGTTCAGTTGAAACATTCACACCTAGCTCCAACAGACAAGAGTCCTTTGTCCCACCCTATATATAAACCCATTTTCCTACTTCCAAGAGACCTCACTACCTCTGAGGATGCTTGCCATAGATGCAGGCGAAACTTGCAGAGAAAATGCCTCTAGAACATGGCCACATAGCCTGAAAAAAACCTACAATGACCCTGTTATTATTATTATTTTGCTTTCTCTACCAAAGACTACTGATGTCTCACCAAACTTTGAATCCCTGGATTCAGAAAAATACCTAGCAACACAAAAGTGTTTGTGGCTCTCTCTAGATCTTCCAATGCAATTTTATTGTGTGCATCTTGTGTTCGCTGTTATCCATGCTGTTAGGTATACATGGTCTACCCCACTGCAATTTTATTGTGTGCATCTTCAAGATATAGGGTTCGTTGTTATCCATGCTGTTAGGTATACATAGTCTACCCCACAATCCTCATCATCCCCTATACTTCATTTTAAATCATAGTCAATTTCATATCCTTTAATCCGGATGTTGTTGCACTTCAACAGAATTTGGAACAGTTCCCACCCATGCTTTCCTCTTAACCCCATAACTACCAAAATAGGGTTTTCAGCTTAGCTCAGCAGGTAAGAAGCCAGGAGAGGACCAGGGAGAGAATAAGTTTACATATATGAACTCCGTACCCTGTGTGACTCCCTGTATTACTTCACTCACTGGCTGATCTATCCTGGCGTCAGCAGCTGAAAGTGGTGTGATATTTCCCACATGACCTTTGACTTCAAACATGGCAAACAACCTGCTTTCACAACAGAGACTGGGCACCAGCTAAAGCATACATGGCCACCCCATCGTTGAGAAGTGCAATCCACCCACAGATGCATCTCACATAGTTTGCAAATTGCAATTAACGACAGTCATCTTGCAACTTTATGCAACAATAGCAATGGGCAATTGAGAAGAAAGATGGGACCAAACACTATCACCCACACACATACTTTTCTGAGAGATGACCACATTGTTACTATAACAGCAAGCATTTTCTTCTTCCTATCTGCTTTGTTGGATCTGTTTGTGTATGCTGCTCCTGCCTTGTTACAATGGTCAGGTTGTGCCATAGAGATCTGGCCATCTTCCTTTCTTGTTTAGTTGAGCAGCAGAAGACAAGAAATGCTCCACCCTAAAAAAAACAATACTAAAGGGAAAGTCCATCTATTCTTCAGTTTTGAAAGGAAGACGAAGAGATAAACCCTACATTGACTTTGGGATAGCACAAATCCCCCATGAGGAATTAGGCATTGTTCTATGAAATCCTTGTGTTGCATGGCAATGGTATGCATCTGAACTAAGATATTAAATGAACAAAGGCATACATATAAATGCACATTGCTTGTGCAACTCCCTTGGAAATGAACGCAGTCATTTCACACCAGACAAAAATACATGTAAGCTTACATATATATAGGAGACCAACTGAATGCCAGCCAATGACTTCTAGAAAGGCTTATCCATATAAATAAAAATGTAATGTTCATTTGTAGGATTAACACAACTCAAAAACCACTGGATGAATTGATACCAAATTTGGACACAATACACATATCAGGTTTTTATGAGCATCACTCATAAAAACACTGAAAAACACAGCAGAAGATGCTTAAAAAAACAAAAAAACAAAAAAACATGACAACGCATGCACAAAACCACACACACACACACACACACACACACACATATGTGCAAACACACATATACACAAATATATACACACTTCAGGAAATAAAGCCCAACTGTTCATTAGAGGGAAGGATATTAGAGGCAAAGATGAAGTATTTTGGCTACATAATGAGAAGACAGGAAAGCTTAGAGAAGACAATGATGCTGGGGAAAATGGAAGGAAAAAGGAAGAGGGGCCGACCAAGGGCAAGATGGATGGATGGTATCCTTGAAGTGACTGGATTGACCTTGAAGGAGCTGGGGGTGGTGACGGCCAACAGGGAGCTCTGGTGTGGGCTGGTCCATGAGATCACGAAGAGTCTTAAGTGACTGAATGAACGACATACACACACACACACACATATATATATATACACACACAAAGCACATATACATAGACTGGGCCACAGCAACGCATGGCAGGAACGGCAAGTATTCATATACTCAGTGTCTGTGAATTCATGTATTTCTGTGATACTCTGCTGACTCTGTTAGTTCTTGTAATACAATTAAAAGAGAGTACATGTCCAGAGCAATAGCTGAGATCCTACAATGCCTAACTTTGTGACAATAATGCTACTTAATGCACAAACATGTCAAGAAAATTGTGACGTGAGAAATAGGCATTATACAAGATGTTCTGTTGCACAGCAAGGGCTCATAATTTTCCACTGCTTTGCATCTGTGTCCATGTCTCCGTTGGGGGGTCAATGCTCCAGCCACGCACTGTCATTATGCAAAGGCAACGTACCAGTGTTCGGCACTGCAATTCTTTCATAACACAATTGCTTGCTCCACTCATGTAATGAACATGATGGTGCAATTCTGACATGACAATGCTCCCCTCCTGGGAATATGACCATTGCATAACACCGCACTTCTAAACTGCACCATCATTAAGTTGGTTTACAACACTGTAAATTCCCAGCAAGATGCCATCCAATAAATTCAGAATGATGTCTGTTCTATGCACTCTGAGTCAAATGGTAGGGAAATGTCTCCAGCCCAAATGTTAACAGCACGTATTGTCGAAGGCTTTCATGGCCGGAATCACTGGGTCGTTATAGGTTTTTTCGGGCTATATGGCCATGTTCTAGAGGCATTTTCTCCTGTATAACTTTCTATTCATCTCCCCCTCTCCCCACACTAGTTGAGATCTCTTTCCTTATTGTCACCAAGAGCTGCTATTTTTGACCTCACTCTTTTGCCTTCAGCTTCAGTCATCACTTCAATATGCTCCCCTCCCTCAAAACTTCCCTATAGCTGAACTTGGACTATGGGTTGAAAAAAAGGATCACTACTTCCCCATCCCATATCCTCATGTCTGCTGCAATGAGAAAGTCTGCATGAGATACAGAGCCAGGGGTGGCCAACTGGACAGGGTAGGTGAGAAGAAACCAGTTCTGAGAAGCTTCACGGACACTTCTTAAATGAAATAGGTCTACCATCACCAACTGTATCTCACTCATTTCAGTTCAAATTGAAGGGACAGTAAATCCACTCTGGGTTCTACTCCAAATTATGACGGAACCATCCAAAGAGTGAAACACTTGTCCCAAAACAGGTTCAGCATTTGGATAGCTCTCTTAAAATCCACTATCCCATGGACCGCAGCAACCACCAGTGATCAAAGCCAGGTAAACTGGAGGCTTCCACAACTTTTCCCAACCTCTTCATTGTTTCTTTGCTAAGGAAAGATTCAAATCAAGGAGGCAAAAAACTGAATAATTTGTTATGAAACCAGATTTATTAAACTTTTTGTACAGGAATTTTACAACTTCATCATATCAATTTCCAAAAATGTACATATTTACAAACATCCAACATAGTGTTGCCAGCTTTCCACCTACCAATATATACAGACTTGTCGGCAGGTCTGAGAACCTTTACAAAAACGAAACAAAACAAAAAAACCCAACTGTATCACAGATACAAATATATTAAAGCAATCACAAGAGCTTTAGTGCAATCAAGGTCAAGAAATAAACTTTTACCTCTAATTCTCTTGATTATATCAAGTTAGTATTGCCAGCCATAATTCACATTTAAACGGCTCTTTGACATCTCGGAGGGTTGGGACAGAGAGAGACCCACACAAAATACAGTTTTTAAAAAGAGAAAATGGCAAAACATCGCAAGAAGATCACATAAGGGATACAAAGCTCTTTCAAGAACAGGAGTGCCACCACTTTGACAGAGGATGGATCTACACTGCCATATAATAGATTGGAACTTCCATTATATGGTTAGTGTAAACTCATATAATGAGTCCATGCATTTTGGGAAAGCATCATATGGGTCTCTATTTCAAACTGCATTATTTGACCACATAGATCCAGCCAGAGATAAGCCTTAAAGTGGTGTGATCCTTAAGGTGGGGCCAAACAAATCTAATGCATAGAATGTAAGAATTGTAGTCAGCGACAACAGTCCATAAAAGAGTTATTAATGTTTTCAAAAGACGGTGTACTCTTTCAAAGAACTTTGCTTCCTTTTTACACATAATATGCCCTGCAAGTATATTTGTCATGACATTAGTCCATTCATCCAAAAGCATATGTGCTGGTCCACTGAATGCCCACCTTCATCTGGGGTACTTAACCAGTGTCTGACAACAGAGGAGAAAAAGCAAAATGTTTTCCTCTGGCAACCTAGACAAACTTTTACAATTATATTTAACACGGCAAGTGCATGTTTCCACAAACCGGAACAGCCACCTTTGTCAGGAAGTTCATTACCATTCCCAGGAATCTAATACTTCTTCTGGTCTGAGGACTATCCGGCATAAATTTGAATGGCAAAACTCACCACAGTCCAGAAACAGATGAAAATGTTAAAAAGGGGAAGAAATTTCCAGAGGCATATTACAGTCAAATAGGAACATTTGGATATTGTTTTGCGGTTACTGAAATAGTCACTCTGAAAGGACAAAGTATGAAAAAGCTCTTTTTAAAAAGACTCGACTGCCAGAACTCCCATGCAATCTGTACTCCAAAAATGAGATATTAACCTCCAAAGTTTTGCAAAACGATGATGTAATACATGAAAGAGCAAAACCTACATAAGAAAACCCAACACACTTGAACGCATGCAACAAGATAGGGCTTATCTATGCCTCTCAGGCTTGGACACCCCACCCTCCAATGATGCATTTTGGTATTTGGGCACATGATGGTATTTTCTGTGCAACTACACCCGCACAAGGGAGACCATAAAGTCCAGAGGAAAAAGGAATATAGATCACAGAATGCTTAAATGGTATGCAGAAGACAGAGGGACAAGGTCAGATATGAGCTTTACACCTGCATCCATATATAACCCATCATAGCCAATGGCAAGATTCCTGTTGATTTCAAGAGGTTTTGCTTCAAAACAATCTAAGAGGAACTGTAGAACTGCATGATTAAAGATGGCATCTCGATAGCTTAGAAATGATGAAGTACGGTTCTCAGGACCCTTCAACCAGCATGGCCAACGTTAGTCGAAAGCCATTGGTTTGCCCAAGCTGTGATGATTCTGACAAGTTGGAAGGTCCAGCCTCAAATCAGTTATACAAGCAGCCAGAGAATCCCATTACTTTCTGTGCTGTGACTATCACCCACCTCATCTGGCACCAGAATGAGCATGGCTGTATCCGCTCTCTTACATCACCGGTAAAATGATTCTGTAATCAAAGCCCGTCTGACAGCCCTGCCATTTTTATGATGTATGAGCTACACAGGAGAGCCCAGCTGACTCTTGCGAGGCAGCTCCAGCAGCATAAAACAGCTAAATGTAGCAAGACCACATGGATCTGGAGACAACAGAAGGAGCCCAGCACCTCCCAAAGCTGTTTTGCTAGAGAAAAGGAAAGCCAAGTAAGGCTGCAGTCCTCAGATTGCTTACTCCAAATAAGTCAGTCTGATCTCCCACCAAAGTCCAGAATAAGCTACTCCTTCTCCCCGCCCCCTTCAGAATTGCAGCTCAAATGTCCAGGGCCTAAAGATGCAGTCACACCCTTCTATGGGCAGATCCGTTTGCTCCAGAAAGTCATCCCTAAGTAAGTTCATCATGTGCAATATTGAAATATTAACCCTAGGCTAAGCAGGCTAAGGACTGCACCTTTTTGTGTGTGTGTTTGTTTGTTTAGTCAGATTGCAAGCTTCCTTAGAAAGAGGAAGGCACAAACTGAAATTCTGTTCATGAGTTACGAATGCTGAAGATAGCTGAGGGCAGAAGATCTTGGAAAGGTATATGTTGACAACACAGAAAATGAACAGAACTAAACAAAGTTTGAAGACTCTGCACAAGGCTGAGGGGTCTCTCCCTCTCTCCTCTCCGAGACAAAATAATATTATTAATAACAACAATAATAATTCTGGGCTAGCAAAAAAAGGAACTGATGTCGTCGTCTTCTCGCAACTTCTCCGGAACAATCTGATCAAAGGCTCTTGTGTCCTGGTCAGCATAGCCCGATTCCAAAACTGCATCAAACCAAGGATGGAGCAGGATTTCTGCAGCCGTGAGTCTTTCGGAGGGCTCCCGCCTGAGGAGGCTGCGAATGAGGCACCGGGCTTTGGGCGAGATGTGGTCAGGGATACAGAACTGTCCACGCCGGATTTTAGAAAACAGAGTGGTAGGGTCCGAGTCATGGAAAGGGTAGCGCCCCACAAGGAGGGTGTATAGCATTACACCTAAGCTCCAAACGTCTGCTGACTTTCCGGAATAGGTCCCTGTGGTGTTCAGGATTTCCGGACTGACGTAGGCTGGGCAGCCGTGTTTGTCCGACAAGGCATCATCCTCGCCTTTGATGATGTGTGTATCTTCCAAGCTTTCTAATCTCAGCTGTGTCCTGGGGAAGAGAAGAAGCCAACATGTTAGTTACAAAACCATGCCAGGGAAGCACACAAAGCAGCCCATTCAGCAAAAAATGCACAACTTGGAAATGTCACTTTTTGAGGATTTCATTTTTCAGAATGACCCAATTAGGGAATTTGAGGAGCTGTTGTTAAAAAGACTCTTACAACCCCTTTATTAAAAATCAGAGCACTTCTAATTTGTTACTCACATGGGTTGCTGTGAGTTTTCTGGACTGTATCACCATGTTCCAGAAGCATTATCTCCTGACATTTCACCCACATCTATGAGAGGTATCCTCAGAGGGAATGCTGAGATAATGCTTATGGAACATGGCCATACAACCCGGAAAACTCACAGCAACCCAGTGATTCCGGACATGAAAGCCTTCAACAACACATTGTTACTCACATGATAACAACGGGATACACATAGCAATTTTGAAATTTGGTCAATAATGAGAGCATGACAAAGCGACACACATGTATGTAAGAAAGATATGGACAAGCCGGATGATATCTCCAGAGAAGGGGGAATAAAATAGAAGGAGGTCTGGAAGCCAAGCCCTGTGAGGAGCAGCTTAAGGAGCTTGGAGAAAGGAAGGTTAGGAAGGGACATGGCAGCCATATTTAAATGTTTGAGAGAATGTTGTGTTTTCACTGCTCTAAAGACTAGGACATGGACCAATGGATTCAAACTGCAGGAAAAGAGTTTCCATGTAAACATGAGAAAATGGCAATATGCTACCTTGGAGTGTGGTGGAGTCTCCTTCTCTAGAGGTTTTTAAACAGAGGCTGGGTGGCCATCTGCCAGGAATGCTTGGATTGTTTATTCCTGTAGGTTGAACTAGGGAGGCTTTGTGGTCTCTTCCAACTCTTATTATTCTATGTGTAAGAACAAGGAATTCTGTTAAAGACTCACACATTTACAGCATGGCCTTTTGGTGACTGCTACCCGCCTCATTAGCAACTGGTGGAAGCACTGAGAAACACTTTGTGTTATGAGTAAGCCATCACAGATCAAATGCCAAAGATGGAAATTTGGTTATCATTCACTGGGTGAAAATGCAAACCAACGGCTTTTAGACTGAGACCGTTCACAGCCTGTGCAGTGAGCCATCCAGTGACGATGGATCAAATGATGCACCTGTATGTGCCAGATGGCATTAAAAACACCCTCTCGATTCAGGGAGGGAGCGGCTGGTATTAGCAGTCAATACAGCCTGGGTCACCATGTTACTCACACCCGTGTGTCATATTGCTATCCCAGTGTAAAGGAAGGGCTGCTTGCTTTATGGGATTTAGCATGCTTTAGATGCTCATGCCTTGATGACTACAAGATGTACTAATGACACAGAGAGAGGGAATACAATACTACAGAGGCAGAATCTCTCTCACACACTTTTCAGTGTGTCCCATTCACTCATGTAGCTGTTGGCAACCACCAAGAGACATTCATCAGAGATGGGAACCACCCATTCCGAATTCAGTACAACTAAGTCAGATTCGCAGGGCAGAAAGCTTGGATCAGAGCCGATTTGGCCCTGGTGACGTCAAGCCTTAACTGGCTGGTGGATCACTGCCAAAATCCACCTTCTCTCTTTTGTTCCTATAACAGTCATAACTCCTGAGCTCACATACTTTTTATTTTCCTCTACGTATGAACCCGCCTCACAAGTTACATGACTTTTTTTTAGCAAACGTCTATTATTCCAAAGGATTTACGCTATCAGGGAGTTCCTAGTTGTTTGTAATACCAGTCAGTTAAATACTCCCAGCTCCTGACAGCTCCATGGGCAACTTTCCTTGCTGTTCTACCAGCCAAAGAAATGCCTTGACTGCTTGTTGTCCCCAGGGTGACCTTCCTGTCCTAAAGCAAGGTTTCTACCTCCCCCTCCCTCCCTCCCAACCTCATCAGTTGGTTCTGTAAATGGAAAATATGACTCAACCGACTCTGCCTGCCCTTTGCCTGGCAGGGGCATTCAAACTCTGCACCTGTGCTTGCAAGGAGAACTAACGTCTTGCCTGGCATTGCTTAACCCTCTGCTTGCCAAACACAATGCATGCGACAATTGGCCCTGTGCAACGCCAAGTTTCCACATTAACAGCACCGGCTGCAACCTGCTATTTCAGCAACTGAGGTCAGTTGATACAGAGGCACACAAAACAACTATTTTTCTTCACAAAGTCATAAAGTGGGAAGCAAGCCACAAGGGCCATCCAGAACAACCCCATACTCCCACCCAGGAACATCCATATGAAGCATTCCCATGTATTGTCGAAGACTTTTATGGCCAGAATCACTGGGTTGTTGTAGGTTTTTCAGGTTGTATGGCCATGTTCTAGAAGCATTCTCTCCTGACGTTTCACCTGCATCACCATCTCTGAGAATGCTTGCTACAGATGCAGGCAAAACGTCAGGAGAGAATGCTTCTAAAACATGGCCATACAACCCGAAAAACCTGCAACAACACAAAGCATTCCCAGCAGATAGTAACCCAGACCTTCAAAAGAGGAGACTCCACAACACTCTAAGGCAGCAAATTCCAAATTACTGCCATTAACAAGTCAACTCATCCCTTTTTCCATATGAAACATCAAGAGTGGAAGTAATGAAGAGTGGAAATGATGGCTTTGCAACAGACCCACAACATCTATTAATACTTGATGTAGTTCATACCTACATGTTCTTTGTTCAGTTATTGAATTACTGGTGACTGGAAGTTGAATGAGATTCTATTTAGCAAAGGACACAGCAGATCCCATGTAATCTTGGAAGCTAAGCAGAGTCAGCTGTGGTCAATACTGGGTTGGGATAGGACCAACTAATATCAGGTGTTGTAGACTATATTTTAGAGGAAAGAACTGCAAAACTGCCTCTGAGTCCTTTTGCCTATGAAATTCATGGGGTTATCATATGTTGACAGGTGACCTGAAGACACATACACAAAGAGCGTGGGTGAAAGAGGAAGCTATAGTTCTGGCATGTAATCATTTCAGTCCCTGGAACCTTTCCGTAATATTCACTACTTCCAGTGTGGGCTCATCTTGAACCTCTCTTTGTACAGGAGACAATGGAAAGTTTGCTTTTAATCACAATCCACTACTGATCTACATGAAGGATGGCCTCACTCCACAATTTGCAAGCTCACTTCCTGGGCCAGACATCATATTAGGTCACGCCAACCACCTCCTCTTATTACCTCAGCTTCTCATTTTCTCCTTTCCACGCCTATTTATTATGACTACCGGTGCACTATTATACCTCCACGTCCATTTATTTCCACACCTTATTAAATATGGCCTGATTTTTGCTTTAAACCCAACTCCTGCTTCAAATCAACTTCATACCCCCATCTCAAGCATGCTTGGATGAAGTTCATTGGGAGCATCTGTACTAATTCGGAATTACATAGACAAAGCTCCCCTTTGTTGGAACAGACCAAAGGATGAGCAAGTTCAAAATCCTGTTCTCAATAGTGATCAGTCAAATGTTTCTATGAAGCCAACAACACAAAGTTCTACTCTTCTGGCCCATCTTCATAACTTATCCTGCCAATGCCCTAAACCGCCAACCAAGAAGGGAGAGAAGCAGCCAAAAGACATGACCATAATCCCTATCAAGAGAGCAATGGAAGTGTATATGATGAAGCACATGGAGGAGACACCTAAATCAGACCTCCTTCACGCAACTTCAGCCTGGACCTGGAATTTCAGTATTTCTAAATATGAATTCTCCAAGTTAGTTTGGAGGCTACCAAATCAAACTCAGAGAACATCCTCCTATGCTGGGAACCCAATGACTTGTGGATGTAACCCAGAACAACGGAGATCTACACAATCATAAATTACCTTAACAGAAAGGAATAAAGTGTCATAGAACACACACACACACAATTAAAAATACCAGCAACAAGGTTAAAGTCTACTTGGTTCAGCTACCCTGGGATCCACAGGCAGCTAAGGCATCACTTCAAAGCAATGCACGGATTGCGACACTCAAGTGTAAAATTGTTTCTGCTGATGTCAGAAGCAGGACTCCTACAGAGTTCAAGTGGGTTAGATTTTTCACACCTATTCAGAGCTGCCCACATTTAACCCAACCAACAGTTATCTCACCGAGGAGTTTTGCAAAATCCACGTTATCTTCCTCCTCTGCACCTCTAATTATATATACGCACACTCACTCTGTTTTATCTAATGTTTCTTGCTTCCAACATCAGCGCTCACAGCCAACTCCTCCATTGGCTGATGCACAACACAAACTAGATGTATAGTATCATCTCCAGCATTCACGAAAAGAAAGAAAAGCAAGCCAGGGACTATTTATATCAGGAACTGGAATTATATATAACCACTTTGAAGCTTTCATGTGGAAACTCCAGGAATGGGGAAACTCCTGAAATGGGGGAACATCTACAGAAGCCTCCATGATCCCCAAATCCCAGTTAAAACAAACTATACCCCATTCATATCTTGTTTAAGACACCTAAATCCCTCTTTTTATAAAATTCTGATTTGTAGGAAGGGAAAATAGGGTGGAAGCACCCAAAGATTTCTGTGGATGCCTATCTCATAAGCAAGTTTGTGATGCACCCCATGGTTTTAGATACACCCAGAGCCAACTCTTCAAGAGATTCCACTGAACCTTGCAGTCTTCTAGTTCAGCGAAGAGGATTCCTGCAAAGCACACCTCACAAGTCTTGAGCAGGTCTCAAGAGCATATGCTTTTTTCCCACTCCATCATGAATCTCCTCCACTCACCCCAGAAAGAAGAGATCTGAGAAACCTACCCCCAGATACATACACAAGGAAGTTTCTGGACAACCAATATACAACGGTGTGCGACAACTAAGGTATCATAACATGGTTCATGCCAACATTAGAATAAATGCAATGTCAATGCATGGTTCAGGAAAGAAGAGAGGAAATTGTGTTGCACTGAGTTGGAATCTTGGTAGCTAGCATTCACAGTTAAGTGATTCAGAAATCATAAGAGGGTTGAATGAAAACTAATGCCTCCACTTTTGTAACTCCTCAACGGATGGCAGTACTGGTATGTGGCAGGTACTGGCTTGTTCAGTAGACTCTCCTCTACAGTTCCATTTTGTCGGGAAGCCTTAGCATTGAATGGTTGTGTTGTTAAAGTGCGAAGAATGGAACCCTGTGCAGACGGTCTGTCAATGCGACTTAAGCAACATGCAGTCATTGAATTCTTGACAGCAGAAGGTGTCACCCCAAAGGAGATTCAACAGAGAATGCAAGCTGTTTATGGTGATTGTGTTGATGTGAGTAGTGTGCATCATTGGGCAAGTAAGMTTAAAGATGTTGAGGTGACATCTTCTGCTGTCAAGAATTCAATGACTGCATGTTGCTTAGGTCGCATTGGCCGACCGTCTGCACAGGGTTCCATACTTTGCACTTTAACAACACAACCATTCAATGCTAAGGGTTTCCGCCAAAATGAAACTGTAGAGGAGAYTCTACTGAACAAGCTAGTACCTGCCACATACTAGTACTGCCATCTGTTGAGGAGTTACGAAGGTGGAGGCATTACTTTTCATTCAACCCACATAGCTTAAAACATGGGGAGCTACATGTGGATATTAGGAAACATTCAGCTGTTATGAACTAATGACAAATAACATTTGCAGAACAAGTTTCAAGTGCAGGTGATAAGGCTGGACATTCAATTCCACCATCAACACTAGTCACAGCCAATGTAGGATAACAATGTATGATAACCCTTTTATGTAGATTCTGCCTTACCAATCACTAATTACGCCACAATTCTCAATCAAAGCCTATGTCTAAATGCAATCATACAAATATGTGGCACTTAACACTGCAGCAGTCACCTCACATTGTAATCTAAAAGACTAAAACCGCACAGGGTCAATGCAACCTGCAAACCTGTTGAGCCAGTGTCTTTTTGCTTGAGTCAATTAACCATCCAGATCCTAACTCAATCAAAATGAAGCACTGCTATGACTGGAAAGAACTGCCACGACTTCAAACTGGAATATTTTACCCACAAAAGCACTCCACAATCCTGTTTCATATGAAATTGGTTTGCGTGCAAATGCAAGAATGTAAGAACAGGATGGACTGTCTGCAAATGGGAATCAGAGGAAGGACATCATGTACAACTCCCACAAAGCTTGGTTTAATCATGTGCATACATGCTGGACAACCAGGATTGGGCAGCAAGTTCCCAGCTCATAAATATCTCACTAAAAAAAACCAGTATCATTGGTACATAGAACTGCAGACATTACTCCTTACACTTATACAGGGTGTAAAACAGGCATACACTTTTCTGAAGTGTCTCCAAATTTCTTAAGGTTTCTAAGCAGAGGTTGGATGCCCATTGACCAAGAGGGCTTTGATTGTGTCTTCCTGCATAATTGAGTTAGACTAGATAGGATGTTGGATTCCTTTCCAACTATAGCAAAATATAGACTGCCTTGGGAGTCTGCTGAAGGTTTCTAAACAGAGGTTAGTTGGCCATCTGTTGGGAGGGCTTTGATGGTGTCTTCCTGCATGGATTCCCTATGGGGTTTCATTCCAATTCTATGACTCTGCGACAAGGTTTCATTAGTACCTGTGGTTTCCTGCATGCTCTTGTGGTTGGGAATGGGGGCTTGGTGTATCTCCAAAAGGGAGAGATGGATCCCAACATCATCTAGAGCAGTGGTCCTCAACCTGTGGGTCCCCAGGTGTTTTGGCCTTCAGCTCCCACAAATCCTAACAGCTCGTAAACTGGCTGGGATTTCTGGGAGCTGTAGACCAAAATACTTGGGGACCCACATGTTGAGAACCACTGTCTTAAGGGAAACTTTTTTAAAAGCAAAAGAAATTCATGGAGCTTTGAAACAGAAAGTTAGAGCAGCACCACTAAGGAGAACAGCGCCACAAAGGGATCAAGGTCCAAAGAACCACTGAATTAGTTCATTGAATTAATTCATTATACTAAAAGGGACTTTCAGCATGGAAACTGAATGCGGTTTTTAAAGGCAGCTTGTAATATAACATGGGCGTGTCTGTCTGCTCTTTGCTATGCAAAGCCTAATGTCCCACTGGGCACATGTACATTCTTGAGTATAGTAGTTTCTTTGGAGCCAAGCCAGGAGGAAAGCAGATGTTTATATAACATGAGTAATGCAGCAAAGCACAGAAGGAGCTGGGGATTGAACCAGGAAGTCCTAGTTCACATCTTGTGCCTGCCATAAACCCAGCACACATCCTTCGGCATGGCACCCCACCCATCTCCCCAACCGCCGTATGGAACAGCTGGAATATATATATAATACAAGTATAGTTATAATATAAAATATACCTATATCATTCTGTTTAGGTGCCGTGCATACAAGAGCTGGCATGATAATATTATAATATAATATAATACTAACAATAATAATATATTATTGGGTTGTTGTAGGTTTTTTCGGGCTGTATGGCCATGGTCTAGAGCACTGGTTCTCAACCTGGGGTCCCCAGATGTTTTTGGCCTTCAACTCCCAGAAATCCTAACAGCTGGTAAACTAGCTGGGATTTCTGGGAGTTGTAGGCCAAAAACATCCGGGGACCCCAGGTTGAGAACCACTGGTCTAGAGGCATTCTCTCCTGAAGTTTCGCCTGCATCTATGGCAAGCATCCTCAGAGGTAGTATTCTCACTACCTCTAAGGATGCTTGCCATACACGCAGGCAAAACGTCAGGAGAGAATGCCTCTAGACCGTGGCCATACAGCCCGAAAAAACCTACAACAACCCAGTGATTCCGGCCATGAAAGCCTTCGACAATACATAATATATTATAATTATATATTTTATATTACATGTAATATTACTAATAATATTACAATTTAGTGGTAGAGTAAAATATAGTAATATATAATACTGATATTGTACTATGATTATAATATAATATATATATTGTGTGTGTGTGTGTGTGTGTATCTTGTAAGCCACTCTTGAGTCCCCTTCTGGGTGAGAAGGGTGGCATATAAATGTTGTAAATAAATAAATAAATCACCATGCAAATCTGCAACTAGCTTCTAAACAGCCATTTGTGTTCAGTTGCCTTTTCTTCCATTTTAAATAACTGAAGATGGGAAACGTGTGCCTTCCAGATACCGTGGGACTGCAATTCCCAACAGTCAGGAAAACTGAAAGTAGGCATTCAACAATATCTTGAGAACCTCAAAATTCCCAGCACTGATCAATGCCAATGAAGAACACTGGCATGATTTTTAGGAAAGGTAAACCACCAGCAGCACATGAGCCAAGACTTCCAATCATTGAATGAGCACCACCAATGGGAAAAGGAACTTGGGACAGAACATATGGCTTTAACCTTTTCCCTCCTACATAGACCCCCTTCGTCAAAACAGCACCTTGTCCCAACTAGATGCTGTCTCCAAAGTCATAAAGGTATCTCTGTCAAAGCACACTTAACAAAGGCCAGCCACAAATCCCCACTCACCTTTCTTCACTAGAGAACACGAACTTCCTAAGTTTAAGGTCCCCCAGAACGATGGCCGACTGGTGGCAATGAGCGACAGCTGAAACAATCTGCTTGAAGAGCCGGGCAGCTTCTTGCTCCGGCAGCCGCTTGCAGCTCCTCACGTAGGAATGCATGTCTCCAAAGTCCTTGTCAAAGAAGACGTAGGCCTTGGTCTCCCCAAGAATTACTTCCACAATCCCAGTGATGTTTCGGTGGGACGGCAGCTGGATGTACGGCCGAATTTTGTCCTGGTAGTGTTTGAGGGGGAAGACCTGGAAACGGCACCAAAAAGAAGAGGAGAAACTCAATATCCATCCATTTTTATAGCAAGGGAATAGGAGAAAAGAGATAGTTGGGCTTGCTCACTTCCACAGAGGGTTTTTTGAAAGTGTGGTTGATGAATTTGCAGCTGCAAAATAGGACAGGGGTAATTAAATAATTTTTATCCTGCCTTTCTTATGGCACAGGACCCAACAAATTCTAGTACAGCTGAAACCCAGAAGGAGCAATTTCAAAAATAATTTTATTAAAAGCATTCAATGAAAGCTGTTTAAAAACATATTAAATCACAGTAAAAGGGATGCATGAATAACATATACTATTAAAAGACTTTTCATTAAGTGTCAAAGGCCTGCCAAAATAAAAAGGTCTTTGTTTGGCTAGGGAAAAAGGGTACAGAGAGGGAGCCAAGCAAGCCTCCCATGGGAAGGAATTCCAAAACTTGGGAAGAGCCACCAAGAAAACTCTCTTGCTTGTCCTTGCCAAACACACCTAAGATTACTAATTAAGTCTTGAAATGACAGTGTTTGCCAGAAGCTTGTGGTGTAAACAGGAGGGACCACGTTTTGGAGAAATGCAAATTTTGCCAAGATAAATCTGATGAGGCAGCAGGAATGGCTCTTGTCCGAGTGGAAGTGCCAGTGAGTGGGGATTTATGTGGGTGCAGCTGCCAATGGGATGCCCTGTTACGTCAGTGGTTCCCAACCTGTGGTCCACAATAACTAAAGTATGATCCATGGACTCACTGTTACTACACCATTTCAATGAGAGCAACTGGCCTCGTGAAACCCTCTTATAGTGCAGAGGCTTATTAAATATGGTTTCATCTGGGTGCAGATGATGACAACTGGATGGCTTATATTCTGCATCAAAAACTAGAGCTGATGTGGTCTAGTCAATGCAATTTTCTAAATCAGCACCCCAAATAATCTAACTGAATCTGAAGTTGGCCAAAAACCCATTCGTAACCCTTTTGATACTAATATTGGAGAGTGGTCCCTGGTCATAAAAAGGTTACGTGAACACAACAATCCCCGTATCTGTGTGGGATATATGTTCCTGCACTTTCATGTGGATATGCAAAACCATTGATAATTGCAAACCCGAATGAAATGAAGCATATCATAGACTGAAAATGGAAGCCCCAAAAATGCCTACTTTGTTGGACATAGATAACCATACCATAGATGCAAGGTTTTCCTCTATACATAAATGAAATATTACTGCATAGGAGAAAAGATATTGATTTCTAAGGCAAAGCATTCTTCGTATTTGGCTTATCTTTCTTTTTTTTTTATTCATTTTAGTGTGAGAAAATTGCTGCACTTTCAGTATCTGCTTTTAAAAAACAATCTTTTCCGAAAAGATTTACAATAAATCACAATAATCGAAAGTTGAACTATCTATTAAATCATGGATCAAGGCGCTACAACAGAGGAAAAATAAGCAGAGACAAAAAAAAGGGGGCAAAATTAGAAAAAGGGCAGAGCTTTTAGAAGAGTGACTTCTTCTTTGAGATATAAACTGGCTTTTACTTTCATGCTCTGGATTTAGAACTAAGGGTGGGATATATATACTTGTGGGAGATGACAAATTGATCTACAGCTACCAGTCAGAAAGCTAAAGTGAACTTCCACATACCGAGATAGCATTCCCAGATGGTTATAGATGCCTGTGAGCAAAAGGCAGGCCCATGTGCCCCACTCCAGACCAGAGGCATCTGACTGGCTAGTGATGGAAACAGAACGGCAAACTAGTCAGAGCTTAGCTCGAGCCAATTCCTACATGCAACATCACCCTGGTTACTTTTCTCCAAAGCCAAGTGCATAAACATCACGCCCTTTCATTCGACATCATCCTGGGTTGCCTGCCAATTCCTGACTCCACACTCAACATGATCACAGTGAGGATAAAACTCCAATATCTCACTAGCCATGCTTACCACATACTCTCCCAACCCACTGACCACTGGATGTCATCTGGATGACAGGAGTTGGAGACCAAAACTTGGGTGGGGTGGAGAAAGTTCAGTGGCCCCTACCCTTAGGATCCTCAAAAAAGAAAGTGGTCAACTAACCACTTGAAATCTACAACAACTATCTCTGTGTCCAAACGGTTTATGCACATGACCACCAGATATTTTCTGCTCTCACATCAGTAAAGCACCTCTCAGGCAGAAGAGGAGGAGGAGGGGAAAAAGGTCTGTCTAAAACCAGTGAAGCCTTCACCTTTTGAGTTTGCCCAGAATGATTCAGACCAAGGTGACGGTACAAGCGAACTCCGACTTCGGAGCGTGCCAAGCCACTGAAGCAAGGGAAGAAGAGGATTAAAGACTCTTGTGTGTTTTATTCGCCGAGGTTTTGCAAGACTCCAGTCATGTTCTCCGAATGACCTGCCTGGCTCTGCTGGGTTACTCACATCCTAGGCCTGATGGGGAGCCGTGACATACGCACAGTGTCACCCTTCCCATTCATTCGGCCCAGCAACACTCCTACAGAGAAAACAAACGGGAAGGTCCAATCATCCTCTCCCCTGTCTCACCGACTCTCGGCTGTCTGCCTCACTCACTCTTGCTCTCAATCACCAGCGCGTGTCTTTGGAAAGGCTCCACTGCTGGCAGCCTTGCAAATAAAGTCGCCTTCAGGCTGAGAAAGGCAGGATATAAATACTGTAAATAAATAAATAATAAAGTCTACAAACATGGCAATTTCCATCCCAAGCAGACCTCCAACTGTCCTTCAAAGAACATATCTGACTGTTTTCATACCAAGCAAACCTACAAATGTCCTCTATGGGACACAACTTCTAGTGGCATCAAATTGTTACCGAGTGTGAACCGCCTTGAGTCGCCTCCGGGCTGAGAAAGGCAGTATACAAATATGGTAAATAAATAAATAGTGAAATTTCCCTAGCACACAGAAGTATTGTCACCTTGCCAAACGATGACATTAGAGACCACCTGCAAGCCTGAACAAAACAATGTCATCTCCAAATGACCATCTCAATTTGCAAATGGAAAGTTTGACCCAGATTTGCAATAAAATGAATACTAAATGAATGAGAGGACCACCCATATCGTAAAGGTTTCTCCTTGACATTAAGTCTAGTCATGTCCAAATCTGGAGGGTGGTCCTCATCTCCATTTCTAAGCCGAAGAGCCGGAGTTGTCCACAGGCACCTCCAAGGTCATGTGGCCAGCATAATTGCATGGAGCACCATTACCTTCCTACCAGAGTGGTACCTATTGATCTACTCACATTTGCATATTTTCGGAACTGCTACGTTGGCAGAAGCTGGGGCTAACAACTGGAGCTCACCCCATCCACGGATTCGAAGCACCTACCTCCTGATCAGCAAGTTCTGCAGATTAATGGTTTAACCCGATGCAGCCAAGCAGTTTATACTCGTGCCAAGTGACCACCAATTTGGATCAAACCCTTTCCTACTGCAGGGAATAGGGATGTTAGTAAAGCCTGTTTGAACCAGGAACCCCACAATACTCAAATTGCCAGGGATTGTGGGAGTTGTAGTTCAAAAAGATTCAAAAGCCTACCCTTTGCATAATCAAAAATGAACTGAAAGATATCCTTGGGCACATTAAGTCTCCATTCCTTTGAATACCACCTGCCCAGTGCTGAACTTTAAACTGCAAGTTCATCCAAGCATAGAACTATCCTACAGTAGTTTGTCAAAGAGGCTTAGGGCAGCATAATTGTGTGAACACACATGCCGTTAAGTCAATGGTTCCTAACATGTGGTCCACAAGAACTAAAAAATGGTCCGTGGCCTCATGACTGCAACGTGAAACCCTCTTATAGTGCCGAGGCTTCTAAAATATGGTTTTCTGTGGGCGAGCAGATGGCAACTATTGGGTGGCATATGTTCTTTATGAGAAACCAGAGCTGATGTGGTCTATCCAATGCAATTTTCTGAATCAGCACCCCAATTAACCAAACCAAATCTAAAGTTGACCACAACTTGAGTTGTAAGCCTTTTGGTACTAATGTTGGAGAATAGTCCCTGGCCAAAAAAAGGTTGGGAACCACTGCTTTAAGTTGCCTCTCAACCACTGCTTTAAGTTGCCTCGCAACCTCCTGAATTTCCTTAGGCAAGAAATACTCAGAGGTGGTGTTATACCAGGCCTAGCCAAACTTGGGCCCTCCAGGAGTTTTGAACTTCAACTCCCACAATTCCTAACAGCCTCAGCCCTTTATTTATTTTATTTATTTATTTACTATGCTTGTATACTGCCTTTCTCAGCCCATCAGCAACTCAAGTCAGTACGCTTATAATAGCAAAATACAAGTTAAGCATTAAAATAATATAAAACCACAATAGAAACAATAAAACTTTCCCCCTCAAGGCCTAAGGCTGTAAGGAATTGTGGAAGTTGAAGTCCAAAAAAACTGGAGGGGCCATGTTTGTCCATGCCTGTATTATACCAACATAGTTTTCAACAACTGAAAGAAAGGATCCTCATAATCCAGAAGATAGTTTTTATTGTTTACAAAAGACTTGACAAGATCTTAAAGAAAAAAAGAAGTAATTTTGGGTTGCTGTGAGTTTTCTGGGCTGTATGGCAATGTTCCAGAAGTATTCTCTCCTGACGTTTCACCCACGTCTCTCCAAATCAGAGAATGTTTCTGGAACATGGCCATACAGCCTGGAAAACTCTCAGCAACTCAGTGATTCCGGCCATGAAAGCCTTCGACAACACACAGAAGTAATTTTGCCAACTCCAGGTTCCAAAGCTCGCAAAAGCCACAAAGAGAGAGTGAGCAGGAGAGCTGTTCTGAAATAACTCCTGTTTATTTTCATGCGCCCGCTGCAGCATAAGCAACCAAGATTGGGCGCTCCAAGTTTCCAAAAGCGTGCCATAGGAAAGGTGGCGGTCGGCAGGTGGCAGCATTCCACGCAGCCTCTCCAATTACTGCCCAAACTCGAAAAATAGGCAAGGCATGCGTCTCTGAGTGTGTGCCTGTGCGTGTGTTTTATTTGAAGAGCTGAGCTGAGGACACCTCATGGAAAACTTGGAAAGCTGTGCTTTGTCAGAGCCAATTCCTCCACTTCTGCTTGCGTAGCTTCTGCAGGAAGGGAGCGGAAAACAACGGATGAGGTCCTTAACCCTTTTGTTAGTGCCGGAAGGGGTGAACAGACTTTGCAGGGTTGCCTGAGTTTTCTGGGCTGTATGGCCATGTTCCAGAAGCATTCTCTCCTGCCGTTTCGCCCACATCTATGGCAGGCATCCTCAGAGGTTGAGGGGTCTGTTGGAAACTACTCAAGTGAGGTTTATATATCTGTGGAATAATGTCCAGGGTGGGAGAAAGGACTCTTGTCTGCTTGAGGCAAGTGTAAATATTGCAACTAGATGGCTAATCAACCTCAACAGATGTTTACATCCCGGTTTCTTTTCGGGATCTACTCCTTGCAGGGCAGAACTATGTTTCAAAGGACACCCAAGAGTATTCCTATCATCCAACCACGTTTGGCTGCTCTTTCCTTGAGATATTCCTTCCAAGATGCAACCAGGCACACCTGAGGTCGCCTCCATTGAGATGAATGGGTTGTATACTCCCAAATAAACACAACCACGATTTGCGTTTCTTTAGAAGATGTGAAAGCCTCACAACTTCCAGTTGCCTCAAGTTCTCTCCCTCCTCTCTCCCTGCACAAGGGACGCCATCTACACTGTGGAATTAACCCACTTTGATACCACTTTAACTGCCATGGCTCTAGGCTACTGAATCCTTAGAGCGGTAGCCTTACAAGACTGTTAGAGGCTTCCTTGCCTCACCAAACACAACTCCCAATTTCCTCCAACCCTTCACAAGGGTCACAATTCATGCCATCTACACTGAGGAATTAACTCACTTTGATACCATGGCTTTATATTACTGAATCCTGAGAGTTGCAGTCTTACAAGAGGCTTCCTTCAAGTCGTCTCTGGTTGCTTCTGGGTTAAGAGAATCGGCCGTCTACGAAGACGTTGCCCAGGGGACGCCCGGATGTCTTGCAATCCTGCGAGGAGGCTTCTCTCATGTCCCCCCACGAGATGCAGAGCCAATCTTAAGAAATGGGGCTACAGGGTGGAATCCTCGGCATGCGAGTGCGGAGAAGAACAAACCACTGACCACCTGCTGCAATGCACCTGAGCCCTGCCACATGCACGATGGAGGACCTTCTTGCGGCAACCCCAGAGGCACTCCAAGTGGCCAGATACTGGTCAAAGGACATTTAACCAAATACCAAATTTGCAAAATCTGTGTGTTTTTTTTCTTTTTCTTTTTAATCTGTGTTTGTTTTGCTCTGTTAGAATTGTAATACAATGGTTGCTGATGACACGATAAATAAATAAAGAGGCTTCCTTGCCTCACCAAACACAACTCCCAGTTCCCCCAACCCTTCACATGGGCCACAATTAGTACCACCTACACTGTGGAATTAACCCACTTTGATACCACTTTAACTGCCATGGCTCTAGGCTACTGAATCTGAGAGTGGTCGCCTTACAAGGCTATTAAAGGCTTCCTTGCCTCACCAAACACAACTTCCAAATTCGTGCCATCTACACTGTGGAATTAACCCACTTTGATACCACTTTCTCTGCCATGGCTTAAAGCTACTAAATCCTGAGAGTTGCAGCCTTACAAGGCTATTAGAGGCTCCCTTGCCTCACCAAACACAACTCCAACTTTTCACAGGGGTCAAATTCACGCCACCCACATTGTGGAATTAACCCACTTCGATACCACTTTAATTGCCATGGCTTAAAGCTACTAAATCTTGAGAGTTGTAGCCTTACAAGGCTATTAGAGGCTTCCTTGCCTCACTAAGCACAACTCCAGCTTTTCACAGGGGTCAAATTCACACCATCCACACTGTGGAATTAACCCACTTTGATACCACTTTAACTGTTACAGTTCTAGGTTACTGAATTGCCATAGCTTAAAGCGACTAAATCTTGAGAGTTGCAGCCTTACAAGGCTATTAGCGGCTTCCTTGCCTCACCAAACACAACAACTTTTCACAGGGGTCAAATTCATGCCATCCACACTGTGGAATTAACCCACTTTGATACCACTTTATCTGCCATGGCTTAAAGCTACTTTAAGCCATGGCTTGCAACCTTACAAGGCTATTAGAGGCTTCTCTGCCTCACCAAACACAACTTCCAAATTCGTGCCATCCACACTGTGGAATTAACCCACTTTGATACCACTTTAACTGCTAAGACTCTAGGCTACTGAATCCTGAGAGTGGCAGCCTTTCAAGGCAACTCCGCTGACCCCACAGCGTGGAGGTAACTGTGTTGCCTGCCTTGGAGAGAAGTTTGGGAGGCTTACCTTGCAGCGAAGCTCCCGCCCGGTGTTGATCTCCAGCGCCCGGGAGACGGCCTCCCTGTCGGGCAGGGGCAGGAGGAGGTACCCGGCCACCAGGCTGGGCCCTTGGGCTCCGGGCCCGGGCGGCGCGGAGAGCGAGGCCGGCGAGGCCGGGGCGCTGAGGCAGTCCGGAGGGGAAGGAGCGGCGGGAGAAGCGGGAGAAGGGGCGCCCTCGACGGCCAGCCGGGCGCACTTGGCGGCGCTGGGGGCGGCGCTGTCGTCGTGCAGGAGGAGCCGCTTGGGAGGAGGAGGGGGCTGCAGCGGGCGGCTCATGGGGAAGCCGGGCGGGCGGGACACGAGCCCCGCTGCCCACACGCCTTGGTTCCCGCCTTCGCTCCGCATTCCCCGGCTCCGCTCCCTTCGGCAGCCTGCGACCATCTGCCGGCGCGACACTCCAGGAGTGCCTCAAAGTTCCCCGTGACGTCAGGGCAGGAGTGGGCGGGGACTCCCGATCAAGGACACGCCCCCTCCCAATGATCGCCCATTGGGAGCAGATGGGAACCCGGAGTTGCCCGTGACGTCAGTGGGCGGAGTCTGGCCCATTCAAGAAAGCGCCCGGGAGGCACCTCCCACTGCGCGTGCGCGGGCGCCTTGCTATATTACACACACTGCTGGCTGCATTATTTACTTATTTATTTACTTATCATAGAATCATAGAATCAAAGAGTTGGAAGAGACCTCATGGGCCATCCAGTCCAACCCCATTCTGCCAAGAAGCAGGAATATTGCATTCAAAGCACCCCTGACAGATGGCCATCCAGCCTCTGTTTAAAAGCTTCCAAAGAAGGAGCCTCCACCACACTCCGGGGCAGAGAGTTCCATTGCTGAACGGCTCTCACAGTCAGGAAGTTCTTCCTCATGTTCAGATGGAATCTCCTCTCTTGTAGTTTGAAGCCATTGTTCCGCGTCCTAGTCTCCAAAGAAGCAGAAAACAAGCTTGCTCCCTCCTCCCTGTGGCTTCCTCTCACATATTTATACATGGCTATCATATCTCCTCTCAGCCTTCTCTTCTTCAGGCTAAACATGCCCAGCTCCTTAAGCCGCTCCTCATAGGGCTTGTTCTCCAGACCTGTTATCATTTTAGTCGCCCTCCTCTGGACACATTCCAGCTTGTCAATATCTCTCTTAATTGTGGTGCCCAGAATTGGACACAATATTCCAGATGTGGTCTAACCAAAGCAGAATAGAGGGGTAGCATGACTTCCTTAGATCTAGACACTATGCTCCTATTGATGCAGGCCAAAATCCCATTGGCTTTTTTTGCCGCCACATCACATTGTTGGCTCATGTTTAACTTGTTGTCCACGAGGACTCCAAGATCTTTTTCACACGTACTGCTCTCGAGCCAGGCAGCCCCCATTCTGTATCTTTGCATTTCGTTTTTCCTGCCAAAGTGGAGTATCTTGCATTTGTCACTGTTGAACTTCATTTTGTTAATTTTGGCCCATCTCTCTAATCTGTCAAGATCATTTTGAATCCTGCTCCTGTCCTCTGGAGTATTGGCTATCCCTCCCAATTGGGTGTCGTCTGCAAACTTGATGATCCTGCCTTCTAGCCCTTCATCTAAGTCATTAATAAAGATGTTGAACAGGACCGGGCCCAGGACGGAACCCTGCGGCACTCCACTTGTCACTTCTTTCCAGGATGGAAAGAAGTTATTTGTTTAATGCAGTGTTTCTCAACCTTCCTAATGCTGCGACCCTTTATTACAGTCCCTCATGTTGCAGTGACCCCCAACCATAACATTATTTTTGTTGCTACTTCATAACTTTAATGTTGCTACTGTTATGAATCATAATTTAAATATCTGATATGCAGGATGTATTTTCATTCACTGGACCAAATTTGACACAAATACATGATACACCTACATTTGAAAACTGGTGGGTTTGGGGGGGGGGTTGATTGATTTTGTCATTTGAGAGTTGTAGTTGCTGGGATTTATAGTTCACCTACAATCAAAGAGCATTCTGAACTCCACCAATGACGGAATTAAACTTGGCACAGAGAACTCCCATGACCAACAGAAAATACTGGAAAGATTTGGTGGGTATAGCCCTCCATCTAGAGAGCACAGTGGACTCAAACAATGATGGATCTGGACCGAACTTGGCACAGTTACTCAACATGCCCAAATGTGAGCACTGGTGGAGTTTGGGGAAAATAGACCATGACATTTGGGAGTTGTATTTGCAAGGATTTATAATTCACTAACAATCAAAGAACATTCTGAACATCACTAACGAAAGAATTGGGACAAACTTCCCACACAGAACCCCCGTGATCAACAGAAAATACTATGTTTTCTTATGGTCTTTGGCAACCCCTCTGACACCCTCTCACGACCCCTCTGGGGGTCCCGATCCCCAGGTTGAGAAACACTAGTTTAATGTATTGTCGAAGGCTTTCATGGCTGGAAGGCACACTGGAACAACCACGTTTTCAGGCTCCTCCTAAAGACTGCCAGAGTTGGGGCATGCCTGATGTCCTTGGTGAGTGAGTTCCAGAGTCAAGGGGCCACCACTGAGAAGGCCCTCTCCCTCGTCCCCACCAATCGCGCCTGTGAAGCAGGTGGGAGCGTGAGCAGGGCCTCTCCAGATGAACGAAGAGATCGTGTGGGTTCGTACACACAGAAATGCGGTCACGCAGGTGGGCTGGTCCCAGACCATTCAGGGTTTTGTAGGTAAGAACCTGCACCTTGAATTGGGACCGGAAAATGAATGGCAGCCAGTGGAGCTCCTTAAACATGAGGGTTGACCTCTCCTTAAAAGGAGCATGGCCCTGCAATGCAACCTGAGCCCAGGGATTTCTGTCTCCGTTGATATTGCAATCCTTTTACCACTTAGTTATTTTCCTTCCTCTGATTTTGCAGCCGTGGTTTAAATAGCTGCTCATGCTCACACTTTTATATCTCAGTAATCAATCTGGTGGACAATAATAGCTTTATTGCAGGCTGCAAAAATGTCACCATCTGGTCATATGAAGGTTTTACTGAGTTACTGCAAGTTGCCAAGAAAACAGCTCCAATGGGCCTTTGGTTTGGTTCTAGGACTGCCACAGATATCAAAATCTAGGGATGCTCACTTTATAGACGGGGTATCATGTGCTTTTCACCTTAAGAACAGACAAGCATCCCGAGCTCTGAGGATTACCTGGGAAGGAATCCCACTGGAGCATTGCAGCGCACCCAAATACCTGGGAGTCACTCTGGACCGTGCTCTGACCTACAAGAAGCACTGCCTGAACATCAAGCAGAAAGTGGGTGCTAGAAACAATATCATACGAAAGCTGACTGGCACAACCTGGGGATCACAACCAGACACAGTGAAGACATCTGCCCTTGCGCTATGCTACTCTGCTGCTGCGTTCACATGCCCAGTGTCTAACACATCTCACCACGCTAAAACAGTGGATGTGGCTCTTAATGAGACATGCCGCATTATCACGGGGTGTCTGCGCCCCACATCACTGGAGAAATTACACTGCTTAGCCGGTATTGCACCACCTGACATCCGGGAAGTAGCAGCCAATAGTGAAAGGACCAAGGCAGAGACATCTCCAGCTCATCCCTTGTTTGGGTATCAGCCAGCACGCCAACGACTTAAATCAAGAAATAGTTTTCTAAGATCTACAGAGACACTCGCTGGAACACCTCAGCAAGCGAGAGTCCAAAAGTGGCAGGCTCAAACCCAGAACCTCAACCAATGGCTGATACCAAATGAGAGACTCCCCCCTGGACACACAGAGGACTGGGCAACTTGGAAGGCGCTGAACAGACTGCGCTCTGGCACCACGAGATGCAGAGCCAACCTTCAGAAATGGGGCTACAAAGTGGAATCCACAGCATGCGAGTGTGGAGAAGAGCAAACCACCTGCTGCAATGCAACCTGAGCCCTGCCACATGCACAATGGAGGACCTCCTTGCGGCAACACCAGAGGCACTCCAAGTGGCCAGATACTGGTCAAAGGACATTTAATCAACTACCAAGCTTGCATTTTGTCTGTTTGTTTGTTTGTTTTGTTAAAAATATAATACAAATGACTGGTTGCTCCTGACACAGTAAATAAATAAATAAATAAATTTTACTGAGCCATTGTATATAATACTATGTAACAAAATTTGCAACATTTTCTGTTCCTGGTTTGAAAGTGTTATTTAATTGGGTGGTACTTCCTTTAAAGGTAGTCGTTATACTCAAAAAAATTCATTTTTGTGGCTGCCACAAACTGTGTTGAGACTCGAGGAGATATTCATTGAAAAACTATAGTAAAATGTGCTGCAAGATGTCTTGCAAAAACAAAGTTTTTGCAGTTTAACAAACATTTTCCATGTTTTTATGATCAACATGATTAGGAAATGATATTTATAACCCAGGAACAGAAGTCGTGTTACATAGTGTAATGGGACTTGAGCATTCTTGGATTCTGGAACCCATTGAGAGGGCAGGCTTGTTTTCTGCAGCACTAGAGACTAGGACACAATTGAGCAATGGATTCAAATTGCAGGAAAAAAATTCCACGTAAATATTAGGAAGAACTTGCTAACAGTAAAAGCAACAACAGAGGAATATTGTGAATCTGACTGTGGTGGAATCTCATCTGGATGTTTTTAAGCATGGGCTGGATGTCCATCTGTCTGTTCTGCTTTGATTGTGTCTTTCTGCATGGCAGAGGGTTGGACTGGATGGCCCTTGTGGTGTCTTCCAACTCTAAGATTTTTGTATTGTCGAAGACTTTCATGGCCAGAATCACTGGGTTGTTGTAGGTTTTTCCGGGTTAGAGGTAGTGAGGTCTCCTCTGAGGATGCTTGCCATAGATGCAGGTGAAACGTCAGGAGAAAATGCCTCTAGAACATGGCCATATAGCCCGGAAAAACCTACAACAACACATCTAAGATTTTTTAATTGTATGTTGGCCTGATTTTTGGGGATGACTTTTTTTTCGTGTCAGGAGCAACTTGAGAAACTGCAAGTCGCTTCTGGTGTGAGAGAATTGGCCATCTGCAAGGATGTTGCCCAGGGGACACCCTGTGGGAGGATTCTCTCATGTCCCCACATGAGAAGCTGGAGCTGACAGATGGGAGCTCATCTTTTTCCCTGGATTCAAACTGCCGGCGTTTCGGTCAGCAGTTCTGCTGGCATGAGGGTTTACTTAATGCATCACTAGGGGCTCGACTTGGTGATGTTGATGAATATGCAAACACACTCAACGTTGTCTGTACGATTGAGGCTCCACTCCACTTGGCTGAACATCCATTTGGTTGCCACAACTGGCATCGTCAGTGAGCACCATCTGCTGAGCCTGGAGGCAGATTTCCTGCTCAAAGTCGCCATCTGCCAAACCTGGGCACTGTGAGCACAGGTAGATTTGTGGAGGGATCTCACACAGATCCATTCACTGCCCA